ACTTAATTAAGGGTATGTATTCGTGTTCATTTTCTATAATTTTGCCTGTAGGGGCAAATTGAAAAAAAATCTCCACTTCATGTATACACATGCAGAGTAAACCGCTTTCGCTGCTGCACACCTATCCAGTGCTGCTTTGTTTTTTTACCGTGGGTCATGTAACACTTAAATGTGGATAAATCAATATTTGAAGTACAATACAATGTAGCGCACAGTGTACCTACATACATACAATGTCTAAGTGAAATTTCTGTTTTACCTCACATCTACACCTTCTACTAACAGAGCAATACTAAAAAAAATTGCTGCATATATTGTGAAAAACTTGCTGTGCCAATACTTTTTGCCAGCAGCGTAAATAATATTAAAAAATATGTTTCTCTTTAAAACGACAGAATCTTAAAACTTAAAAAATGAAACTGAAAGAGAAAAAAAATAATTAAAAAAGTAAAATTATTAAAAAAGAAATATAAAACAAAATAAGTTCCTACTTAAAAATTAAGAAAAATATAAGATTCTCAAAATGAAATTATATATGAAATATATTTTTCTTTTTAAAAGAATAAAATTTAAATATGAAATAAAAAATAAATAAATAAAACAGTTTCGTAAAATTAAATAACAGTGCCTTCTACGCACAAATACTTTGGAGGGGGCAATGAAAAGGCAACATTTTTTGTAGAAAAGAAAGCGCCAATAGATTTGCAAAATAAAAAGTACGTTCGACATAAAATGCATGTTTTCTTCGGTTTAAAAATTCGTTCAAAAACTATATTAACGAATGGAAATTTTAGTAACATAACATCAGTTAACACCATGTCAGATAGTTCCGCTGATTAAACAAAAAGCAGAAACGATTTCTACATTTAAAAACTTGGAAAATTATCCTTAAATATTTAACATATTACTACAACTAATTTTATACAAATAGTCTTCCCAATTCGCAGAGTTTAGCAATTTTGTAACCCAAGTCATAATTCACTTTTGTTTTTTTGTAACGTCACGCCAGCGCATATGTTTACTAATATCTTTAAATCTCTACTACCAACGGTTGTACATTATTTTTTACCGAATAAAGGGTTATTTAATTACTATGTAAAAACCTTTTTAAAATTTTGACTTAAAATTTTTTTTTTTTGCATTTTAGCATACCGATGGACCTACATACCCTAAATTTTTCTAAAAATTCAGAGAAAAAGTTTAAAATTTAGCTGAAAATTTGTAGAATTTTTCTAAATTCTGCATAAAGTTTGAAAGTTTGAAATATGTGGTTTTGATTGAAGTATCAACCATATTTGTATAAAAAAATAAAATTTAACTTAACAAAAACACCACGCACTCACTTTTTCATTTTTATGGAAAAAAATTCAAACTTCGACTGGGAAAATGTTATAACAAATTACAATACTAAAAAAATTATATTTTTTTAATTTGTATTAAAGCCTGTTCTTTTGCCAAGAAAAAGTTCTACAATAATTTGTTTGTATGAAATACGGCCAGGGAATAATGATACTCATACGCCACATCGTACATGGCGTATGAGTAACATTTTCCATGTTAAAATTTGAACAAGTAACTCCTCCAGATTACCACTCTTTTTACCTTATAAATCCTAATTTTTTAGATTTATGGTTGTAAAATTAATGATTTTTGATAATAAAAGTGAATAAATAAAATTTAGTTTTTTTCCAAATGTGCTTATGCAGGTAAAAATAAGTTAGAGGTTAAAATAATATTTTTAAAGCAAGCTTTCTATAAGAAAAATAAAGACTATTAAAATAATAAAAAGTAAATTGCATTCTCCAATAACAAAAAAAAAATAAATTCGGTCATAAGATTAGCCAACGGCTTTAAAGAAAATAAAATTTGACTGCTGTCAGATAGGTGGATCGACGATATGTTTCAACAGTAAAAATAGCGCGGCCTCCTCTCGATATTTCTGTTTTAAAACAGCTTTTTTAACATAATCTATAGGTATAGATGTGAGGTTAAGAAGATAAATATGAAGCAGAGCCAAATTTTTATGTTAAGCCCATGACAACTCTCTGACATATTTTATGGTAGTTTTTAAACAAATCTTGCCTAAGCCGTTGGTGCAAAAAGCTCAACCAAGTGATTTCAGAAAGTTCTACGGCAACCTAAAAAACTTGGAAGTCGTATAGGACAAGGTGCGGGCTATGCGCTGTAGGCACCAAAACTTTCCATCCAAACTCTCCTTTTATTTTGACTGAATTGGGAAAATAAATCTGCCCACTTCCTTGAATCGTCCGCTTTAATCGCTTTAGTTGCGGACAGTTGAAAGTCGAATCAATCACTAGCCAAGTTTTGAGCATATCACTATGAGCTGTTCCTTTCCAATCGAGGCAAACGTTCAACACTATACTTCGTCATCAGCTTCCATTCAATTTGAAAAATTGCTCGATTTCGCTTTCACTCAATATATTCGGAGACTGCCCAGTTTCCCTTCCACCGAGTTCAATAAAGCACGCCAGCAGTTTGTCTTCTTTGCCAAATGACGCCAAATGACGCCAAGTGGAAATGTCAAGTGAAGCCAAGTCCGTCTCCACATGGTCTTTCCATCGCAAAGGAGTCCTTCATCTTTCTCTGTTACTTTAAGAATTTCATCGTTAATGTCCATTCGTACGACGGGTTCGAGCCAGCTTAGACTTTATCGTTGTAAAGCGAGTATGGCCGATGCTTAGATAGCCTTACCAACTTCTCGACGCCATATTTAATTAGCTCTGCTGGTAGGTCGTCGGCTCCAGCAGTTTTGTGGTTTTTTCGCCGTATGATCAATTTGATTTCTCGTTTTTTTTTCGAAATGGAGACAGCCAAGTAGCTTAACTGATCGGGACCCGGCGAAGTCGATCAGCCTCAGTCTGTTATGGCACGTTTGGAAGGCAGAATTTTCCATGGAACAGTGGAACCAAATATCCCTTCCTTGCCTACCCCGGCATTGAAATGGCCGATCACGATTGCCATATCGTGATGGGGGCCGAATTTGTATATGTTGGCGATCATAGAAGATATTCTTAACTACCTCGTCGTTCTTTTCCCTTGGGACGTAGGCGTAGATGAGCGAGATGTTGAAGAACCCCCGATTTGATGTGGATTGTGGCTAGGCGCTCGTCCGCCGGAGTGAACGACAGAGCGACGGAGTATCTTTCCCACCACAAATCCAACTTGCCCGACCGAATTTACGCTCCATTGCGTGACAGCTGTAGTAAACATCGCAAGACCCTACCTACACCTTCCTTTTCTCTTGCCCCGGCTATCACATTTCTTGGATGGCGGTGATGTCAGCCTTGGTCTTCCCTTAGATATCAACCAACCGGGAAAAGGCACCTTCTCAATTAAGGGTCCGAACATTCCTGGTGCATGCCCTAAAATCATAGTCTTTTAAGCATTTGCTGTGGTCCCGCTCCAAAGAAGGGGGTATCATCCAAGGCTTGGTTTTTGTTTTCATTTGGAAGGGTTTTTGCGTAGCGCACGCGAGGTTTTGCCCCGTCTCAGTTTAGCTCGCTCCGAAATGGATACGCTGCCCAGAGGATACGTGGTTAAAATATCCGGGCGGCGTTGTGAGATGCGATTAAATCGTACGCAAAAGGATCACTTCTGGCCACTCTCTGGGGAATTATATCTAGTCAAAAGCTTTCCTTACTTGCGTGGACTTCTGCGTACGGAGTCATTATAACTGCTGTCTTGCATATTTAAATAGTTACATGCCACTTTACCCCACTGTACAACACAGACACATTCACGCAAAGGCAAATATTATATCGGTGGGAACGCTGACAGATATTTACATACAAATCTATAAATAAATATATATGCATGTGTATTATAATTTGTATGTATGCATGTACATATGTATATTGAAAGCTAGACATGAAAACAGACAATCGCAGTACTGGTGATTCTTTGATTCGTAGAATACAAATGCATATCGTGGTCAGTGTTGCCACACACAAATTTTTTTCCCACCAAAATCCACCAAAATCTACCAACAATTTTTTTTTGAGTTTTTAATATTTTTGTTTAATGTTAAGTTTATTAAAAATGTAGATAACTTAACATCTAGTAAAACCAAGACACAGCTAGTAAAATAAAAACAAATTAACTGCGTATAACAATTGATTTTACTATACATACTTATCCGACCTAAAGAGATCTACATATTGTAATCACTCCAACCTTAGGCAATTCAAAAATCTAAGCACTTTGGACTGTGGCATATTCCAAATTTGTATATGGAGAAGAAAATCGTTCTCCAAAGGGTATCAGTCTACGATACATTTTTCGTGAGCAGCTACATAGAATATACTCTGGGGTTTCTTCCTCCAGCCCACAAAACCCACAGTCCGTCTCTACAGAAAGCCCCATTTGATTCAAATGGTACCTTAACGTGGAGTGTGCTTTTAATTAGCCAGTAAGAGTTCCAAGTACAAGGAGTCTTTCGCAGTTCCTCCTGTGAGGAGTTATGAATCTCTTTGGTTGTCTTATCTTTTCCTTCCGCCATTGGGCAGCAATCTGAAATTCTTCTTAGCTCCTATGTAGTTCTGCAATGTATTTTTTAGATGTACCGCAGAATGGTTCGGGGGATCATGCAAGCGCATTTCGGTTCCACGCTTTGCGAGACAGTCGGACCTTTTGTTGGCTTCAAACCATTCATGTCCCGGAACCCACCTCAGCGTTGCGCTACAGTGGGCTCCAGGTGGTTCCAGACGCCACAAGCCTTGATGCAGTTTTAAAAGAGTATTATACGGCATTTAACACTGTTTCATTGTCACGAAACCTACCAAAATCCAATCTAGCCTACCGACCTACCAAATGGAAAACAACCTACCAGTTTTGGTAGCAAAATTTCATGTGTGGCAACACTGGTATCGTGGTGGTAGTAGCGTGTACTAGTCATGTGTGTCTAGCCAGCGCACAACTGTGGTGTTGTAAAGGGGGAGTGGGCGTGCTAGTGTGTGTCTCAATTAGCATTGTCGACAACAACAAAGAGTGCCGACGACGACAGCGACAACTACAACCAGACCAGCCAAACCAGTCCGATGTCCGTCATCATCACTCGCGGCAGCAACAGCAGCAGCAGTTACCGCAAATACTAGTCTGTTGGCAGTCAGTCAGTTATTTTACTCCGAGTTGATCGGCGAATTTTCGAGTGCGAAAAATTCGATTTTTCACAGCGGACTTTTGTTTATTTATGTGCAAGTGAATTTTTCTTGACGTAATTTTTTATTTTCCTTTGCTGAAAATCATTGTGACCTATACAAAAATCTGTACGTTTGTGCTTCGCGAATTGTGCGTAGAAGTAGTACCTACTTGCATTTGAAAATAGTTTCGTTTTTGTTGCCGTTAAGTGATTTAATTTTTTTTCTAAAACTCGTATTTGAATGCAATACACACAAACACTTTAAGGTCCGTTTCTGACGTAGATATTTGCATCGACTGCTCGGTCAATCGTCTCACTACATTGGTTTTTTAGTTTTGTTGTAATTTAAAAAATTTTTTTTTAGTCATGTTTTTTTTTATCGTTTGGGGTCACCCCTATCAGCAAGTTTGCCACCAACATTGCTGTGTCTGCGTTACGTGGTTACTCAATTTCATAATTTCGTAATTTCGGGCTATTCACCGCTCCACGCGTATGGCGTAGAATCCGGGAAGTGCGCTCAATTGCAGCCGCGTCACACGACCGCTGCCGCCGCCGTCACCGTGTTTTTTTTAGGGAGCGTTGAACGCCTGCTAAACAGGAAGACGGCAAGGCGGACACAAAAACGCAGTCATGCAATAACATACGAAAGCAACAACAAAAAAGGCAATCATTCAATTGAACGGAGACAGAACAAAGCACAGCAAGGCAGGGTTTCAGCGCCAACAGAGCTTTCGCTTTTGGCAGAAGGTGGAGCTGTAAGGCGGAGTCGACGCTGAACCAGTCAGGCAGTCGACCAGCCAGTCCCGTGTGGTTGCAATAAATGCAGTTTATGTCTGTCCGTCTGTCCCTCCGTCCGTCCGTCCGTTTGCCCGTTCGCCTATTCAACCAGCAACACCATCGCGCGCACTTCACCCACCCCGCCACTGCTGGCACTCGACTATATATATTTGTCGTGCATTTGTTAGTATGTGTTTATGTGCGAGTGTATACATATATACTACATACATTCATGCGCTCTTTTCGCAATCGCGGCGAAGTGTTTGCGTAAGATAAGGCAGCTGTGATGAGAACGATTAAAGTTGGGAAAGGTCGGTGGGTCGAGCGGAGTGCGCTGTTGATCCATTGATACTAGCCTATATGTATGTGTGTGTGTGTGCATATGTGTGTGCGAAACAGCTGAGGAGTAATAGTGCAGGCGGTGGGGTACATAGTCAGAAGTCGTAGACTTGCGTGTTTACAATATTTAGAATGATCGCGAGAAGTGAGCGAAAAACAGTCACGGCCATGAACGAATTATTTTCTTTCTTTTAAGTAGTCACATACAGACATATGTACATACATACATGATTGAGTGTATGTTTGTGCACTTTTTCAGCGGTCTAAAATTTGTTTTTCTCACGTATGCAGTACTACTTAACTTCGGTGAACCGCCAGGCAAAGAACAAAGACAGTTACCACAACAAAAAAATTGGCAAAAAAGTTTTTTCTTAACAAAACCCCAGTGGCAAGCAACCGCACGCACAGAAGCGAAGCGAAAATAAGAACTAAACAATTTTTAAAAGCTAAGAGATACAAATTAATAAACTAAAAAATTATCAATAAAGCAAGCGACATAATAATTAGCAACAACTAAAGCAAACATGGGCCAAGTTTTCGGCAATCCGAACAATGTTCACGGCGAATATCCGGCGACCACAAGCAAATATATTGGTAAGTTTTTGGCGCAAGCAAGCAGCCATAAAAAAGATAGAAAACAGAATCGCAAAACTATGAAAAATCGAGAAATATAAATACATAAGCACATGTCCAAGTACATACATTAGACCGTTGGCAAATGCAATGGAAGTAGTATTAATTAAAAAAAAAAAACGTGCTAAGACTAATACATACAAGAATGAGAGCAAAGGTGAGTATATATGTATGTAGATGAAGAAAAAGATAAAGGCAATGATAAACATAAAAACAAAGATGCGTAAAGATGGAGATAAAGGTAAATTTAAACACTTTGTTTTTGATGATTATTTGATTAAGGTCAAAGGTGAAGGTGAATATGTAGATGAAGAAAAGAATAAACACAAAGGTTAAAATAAAGATAAATGTTTGAAAAATATTAGTATGAGAATAACGGCAAAGGAAAAAGATTAAAAAATAATACTTATAGAGAAAAGGATATAGATAGAAACACTGGGCACTCACCACTTATATACTCACCACATCTAAACTTACCACGCCTTAACTCACCTCACCTAAACTCACCACATCTGAATTAAAAACACCTAAATTCACCACAACTGAACTAAAAATACTTTCCGTTGGGTATGCCCCACACCTGAACTCACACACCCAAACTCACCTAAACTCAGCACATCTGAACTTACCACAACTTAACGTATAGTTGCTTTTTTTAAATACTTCTACTGGAATAATCGAATTTGGAGAGTTTTAATTTACTGATATTAGGGTAGTAAGTTGGGGCGATAAGAACTGAGATCTGATGTGTAAGTATTAGAATGAACTTGAGGTCATCGGTATATCATACTTTAACCCTTTCAGTACAATTGTCCAATATATTGGACAAACTTTTTTTGTACCTAAAGCTCTTTTTTTTCCTTAAATAAGAGCTTTTGTTTAAAAAAAAACAGTTGCTTGGAGAAAAGTATATAATTCTTATTTACCGCATTTCTTTTACTGCATTTTCGGGATGCAGTTGACCGCGTTTTTTCACTAGAGTTAAAAATTTCCCAAAAATCGATATTTTGTAGTGTAAGATGTACGAACAAATCAACTATTTTTCGGTGGAATTGAAATCCGGAAAAATGTGAAATTTTATTCTCAGTTTTTAAATATATTTCGCAAAAGAAAGAAAGAAAAATTATTGATATCACTTCCCTGTTTACAAATCTAGAGTACCGCTGTCCAAATGGAATGGACGCTGAGTAACGGTAAAACTAAGAGTTTCATAAAATTTTTGATTGTATTTGTGAAAACAATGACCCAAAATTAGCCGGTAAACAAATTTTCAGATCTTTAGCTTCAGCGCCTGATGTTTTGTACTGAGAGGGTTAAGATTCAGCTGTAAATGCCGAAAATATTTATGGCACAAAATGTAAAAAGGTGTCGCCTACGTTCGGCAAAAAAAAAACAATTGTTTTCGAAAATAGCTTGCAAAAACACTTGAGACTCAGGGGTGTACGGTGACCAGGACTGCCAACTATCCTTAGCAGCTATGAGTGCCAAAAAAGGTGCCATACTTTTTAATCCGTCCCATTTGGCAATAAAATAAGAACCAGACTTTTGAAACAAAATGGCAATGCCAAAATAAGATAAACCAGTTGTATAAACTTTAGAAATTTCAACATTTTAGTTGAGAAAAAGAAGTGCACTCAAAAGATTTCACAAAAATATATAGAAATATTACTATTAATGAAAAATTAAGTAAAATATGGTCAAAAATGTCACGGTTTGAGCCAAGGCCGACCATTTCCCTGGTACGGTCTGGTACATACATGCATATATTACATATGTATAAAAGTGCTAAAAGGAATGAGAGAAAATTTTAAAATCCGTTTAACGAACATAGGTTTGTGTACTTAATGACTTATTGCGTATATTTGTGCACCTGTTGGTATCTTCAAACATCGCACATACATACATATGTATGTATGTATATATGTATGTAGATACCTATTTACCAACCTATACATATGTAGTTCATAACGATCAATACCAATATTCACTCAAGTTGGTATGCGGGGGAACACACTCTAATCGGCTAACTAATAATTAGAGGCAATGACCGCAATAATAAATCGATTTATCAAAAAAAAGTCAAAAATATTTATACCGTAGATATTTGCGTAGATTTTAAATGAGAAATTACTAAGTGTTAATTTTTGTTCTAGAATAGATCGCAATTAATGAATATTTGGGTGTGAACATATTTTTCTGTTGGTTTAAGTGTTATTTTCTTTTCTTGGCAGCGATGCCTGTTTACTCAACTCGATTGTAAAAAGATAAGCATCAAGCAAAACAAAACACAATGTGATAAGAACTTTCTATATACATACATACATATAAAAAACAACAAGTCATTCAGAAGAAATGTCGGTCTAAAATACGACGCATGCATTTATTTTGAGTAATTACATAAAAATACATAATTCAAGTATGTCTATATGTATACAAGTGTGTGCATTATTAATCATAGGTTCTCGAAATATTTGAATTGCTATTTCATAATGTAAATCCCTTTCAAATTAGAAGTGTTTAGGTTTTAACTGAGCAGAGGAGCTTTGTATTTAACTACGATTGAGCGAGTCGTCGAGCACGCGCATCTACTTGGAATTCGGTTGCAGATATAGGCACATGCATACACTCCAATTTCGAATGACAACTCAGGTGATTCTTATGTAAAATTATTTTATGGATCCGGATATTAAACTGTAAACCGCAGTTTGACTGTAAGCAGCCAGCGATCAGAAACTTGTCGTTAACGGGCTATAGAATCTCCCCAGTGGTCATTTTGGTCATCGCATTATTTCTATCTGCGGTGAGCAACATCATGGAAAGAGATTTAGGAAGACCTGGGTCAATAGACTGAGCAATGGCGGCTTGAAAAAATATTGAATGCTCTTTGCGGCCAGAAATAAAGCCCCTAATTTTTAATTCCTAAAGTCATATTTAATGCTTAAATTAGTGGTGACATAGTCATAGCCATATAAATCAGCTGTTCCAACCAACATTATGGCCAACACTGTATTCGATTAGTGGTGCCACACCATAACGCCATAGCCATAACCATAACTGATATTTAAAGTGCGAGTAAGAACGTGTTGCCATCCGTAAAAAAGATATATTGTTCGCATTCAAAGTTTTGGCATAAGTCTAGAATATGAACCATTTAGGTATGCCTAAACCAAAAATATGGCTCGATAGAACCTCTCACGCTGATTTCAACTGTTTGCAAAATAATTTGGTGCAAAAATATTAAGAAGATATGAAGGTTAAATTAAATTTTTTTGTTTAATTTTTTGAAACTAATATCTTGTGAACTACATAACCGATTCAAAAACTAATGATGTCAAAATAAAGACAATTAATTTACCTTTCACTTGATGTACATAATTTGTATGCTTTTTTATACTTTTCATCCAAAAATACTAAAAAACGGAAAAAATTCGTATTTTTTCATAAAATAAATTTTTTTTAAACAAAATTTCATAATTAATGCAAAAGAAATTTATATTATTAAGAAATTACAATAATTACCTTTAATTTGATGTACATATTTTATTATGATCTGCTGTTGAGTTTTAAGAATTTAGTGTTAATTTAATGATAGTGAAAGAAGTTCTTCGCAGATATACTACGATATTACCCATTTTTCTCGTCTGGCAACACCGACATTGTTGATTACGAAAAATCAGCTGTTTATGGTTATTATACCTATAATCGATGATAGTTAATGTGCTTACGCTGCCAAAGCACTAAATAGCATTTCTACATTCCACCCTTAAGTCTTCACTGCATTCCATTTCTGGGGCCTTACAATAAATACATCATGCCTGTCTTAAATGAACTCTTGCTTAGCTTTATGACTTGTTAAAGGAACAAAATACTAATTGATTCTTATTATCCTCCTAAAACGATTAGTTTTACTGTCGATTCTCGTGAAACTAGTCCTACCTGCTTACATGTAATAAAAAGGTGGTACATACGACTTAATAATTTCTAAAATCTTACTTTCCGAAAATTACCTATGTAACCTTAATTATTCCTTGAATCTGCCTAACGGATCTCGTCTCAAAGTAGAACGGCCCTTTGAAACTTAAATAGCAGCCCTCCTCTTGGTACAGTCAATCTGGTTCTATTTATATTTAAGTGTACCTGGTTCAAAATTCCGCACAGGATAAAAAAGATACCATGCTGTCCAGAAAAATATTTTTAACAAAATAAGAGAATGACATATCTCTCAATTTGACCAAAAACATTTTTAATTGATTGAAAACTTTTGGCAACTACATCGCTGCTACTAGCACTGATGCACAAATCGACAAACGTAATTCACGGTGATTTCAAAAATGATATTGGTTTTTTACCGGTTACCAATTTCCAAAGTGCCGGGTTTTTAGTACCGGTTACCAATTTTGAGAAAAGCAAAAGTTCACGCGCATTGTTTTATTATGGTTATTTCAGACATGAAATCGCCTTTTTTTGTAGCGGTTACCAATTTTTAAAAATCCGCATACTTTCTACCGGTTACCAATTTTTAAAAATCCACTTTCTTCCTACCGGTTACCAATGTCGTAAAAAGCGGAGTGATCCAGCCCATTTTTTTTAATTAAAATAATAATATTTTGCTTAGATTTCTCTATTTATTAGTAAGAATTAGTAACCTGTACAAAAAAAAAAAATAATTTCTTTTTTGAAATAACAATAATAATAAAATTGGGATGACCACTCCGCTTTTCTTAAAATTGGTAACTCGTACTATGAACTGGCGGTTTTCGAGATTGGTAGTTGGTGCGAAAAACCGATTTCATTTTTGAAATCACCGTAAAGTAATCTTTGCAGTAGCAAAGTTTATTTGTTAGTAAGAATTGGCAACCGGTACAAAAAAAGCAATTTAATTTTTGAAATTACAATCAGCTTTTCTTAAAATTGATAACCGGTACTCAAACCCGGGGTTTTCAAAAATGGTAACTTGTGTAAAAACCGGTTTTTTCACATTAAGTGCTATATTGACGGTACTAAATATCATGTAAAGAATTAGTTCTTAGAAATTTATTAAAGCAAATCAAAGGAAAGAAGACATAAATGGAATTTCCCTTCCATATAAAATTTGCATTTTAAGTTTACTAGAAGCACGCATTGTTTTCGAAAGGGTGTATGTGTGTATGTATGTATGTGCATAAAGTTATAACTAAAGAGATTAGTGTACCATCAGCTATTACAATTAAATTTTTTTTGTAGAAAAAAGGGTTTTCTACAAGAATGAAGTATATAACTATGTATGTATGTACATAAATTACTAAGTAGTTTTGTTCTCAAATTAAGTCAAAATAAGTAAATACATACATATGTATGTACAACAAAAAAAAAAATAACAAAAAAAAATGCTGGACAATTCTCCATGATACAAACTTGTTTAACGGGCAGATTTCAATGTGCGTACATGCATTATTAGAAAAATTAATTCTAATAATTGTATGTAGAGCAATTTATTAAGCGTCTTAGTTAATATGTATAAGATTGTTTGTAGCCAGAGCCGCATGTGACCTTTAAAAAAGATCAGATAGCAATTGTAGAGTTAACTTTATACCACGAGTGCTGTGTCTGTCTGTCCGAATGAGTGATCCATATGTGTGCACGCTCAACTCCATTAAATAACTGCATACAAAGTTCATGAGAACATTTGGTTATAAAAAAAAAAATCGCATGCGGACTGTATCCAATGGCTCGTGAGTTGGTTCGCATTCACTTTTCCTGCTCAACGCAGTGCTTAGTCATTATAACTTAATATCTATGGATGCATGTAGTTCATGCGAACTGAGCATACATATGTACATACAGTCAATCAATAAAGTTTAGGTACAGCGAATTTTTTGCAATACGGGCAAATATTTAATTTTTTGCAAATTTTTTACAAAAATTGGGTTAATTCTACAACAAAAACCTCAAAAATCAGATTTCCAAACCTTATCCAAAATTAGAGAATATTCTGCAATTTTCATTCAAATATTTCACTTTTTATTTACACGCTTTAGAAAAAAATTATCAAACATTATTTTGTATGGAGAAAATGAGCGACACCTTCAATAGAAAAATTTGCCAACCTCAGACTTGCACTTTGTTGTACTAAAATTGTATGGGTTAAAAAAACGGCAAACTCAACTTTTATCTAAAGAGTGTAAATAAAAAAGTGCCATATTTGAATGAAAATTTGCAGAATTTTCCTTAATTTTACACAAGGTTTGGAACGCTGATTTTTGGTGGTTTTGTAAAAACTTTGCGTAAAATAGAATATTTAAGAAATTGTTGCTGTATGTACAAACAGACAATTGCGCATTTAGCATTTACGTCATTGCCAATATTTTACTAATACTTATTAATTAAGTTCATACATAAATCCATTCTTGCATGATAACTTATTTTTGTGACTTTTTCTAAAAAATGTTCGTTTTTTTATTTGTACTTTCAGGTATTAAGTGTCCAGTATGTAACAAATTTGTGTTGCCCGACGATATTGAATGCCATTTAGTTATGTGCCTCACAAAGCCGCGACTGTCATACAATGGTGAGTGTGTTTATAATTGATTGCATATAACAGAAAAAGCAACAATGAGATCGTATCATGTAATTAATGCATGTAAAATCGAGTGTATTAAACGTGTTATGTTTTTCTTTTTTTTTAATTTATAAACACGTACATATATTAAAATTGCATACTCAGTCATTGGGCAGAAAACTTCATTAGCTATCTAAGTAGTTTTATTAATTTAATTTATGCAAATGAAGGAAATTAATAAAAAAATATTTTTTCTTTTACATTTTTTAACTATGTAAAGTAGTTGTTACATAATAAAAACTTACAGCAATTGTAAACAAGATCTCACACATTGTTTATCTTCTCACACTCTTGCTCATTATTATTCAATAGAGTCGCTCTATAATTAATTTCAAGTTACTGTCACGGCTTTGTTCAAATATGTATTACCCGTCATGTTTTCCTTTCAATCATTGTTTTTAAAAAGCAGTAAAAAATTATAAAAAGTGTTTTTAACTTCTAGCAATAATATAATAATAACCGTTAGTTGTAGGAACTTAAAGACAGGTTTTTAGAACTAAAATCAAACTTCTACTTGAAAAGGCACATTGTAATTTTTTGAGACCCACGCTTAAAGCTTACTTATGAGCACATGGAGGATCGATTTTAAAGAAAAGTGGTGAAAACGAAGAGACTACTTTTCGTTCCCACGACAGTCGGGTCTACATAACTGGAACGACCCAAATCTATATCCGGCACAGGACTCTCACTTTAGCTGACTTCCCAAAAGCTCCTTGGGAGACTTTCATGTTGGTACAACAACAAACAGGGGCTACCGTTTGTTGCGTTTTGCGTNATAGGGTTTGTCCATAAGGACAAGAGCGTTTGTTGAGTGGGGTTCAGTGGGCATGCCAAGAGATGTCTCGAGTGATGGGGTGTCTCTCCGCATGCAGAGCACTCGTTTGGCACATCTGTGCTTACTCTTCTCAGGTACAAGTTTTACCTGATGCAGTAACCAGAGCGAAGTTGGGCAGGCGAAGCTCTCTGTCTCGTCCAGGGCTGGTGCTTGTGTGCCCCCAATGGCATTCATAGGTCGAGAGTCTATATAACTCGAGACTGTCTCCCTGTGATTCCCGTTCAGGGCCTGTCTGTATGCTGTCGGGTCCAGAGATTGCTTTATTAACCTCTGGACTTCGTCCGTTAGTTCATATAGATGCCTTCTGACATGCCGTAGCGAGGGTTCTTCCGCAAGCAAATATCTGTTCGGGTGCTCACGTCGGTGACACCCTGCCAAGAGTTGCTTGCAGAGCATTGTGTTATGCTCATTAACTGGGAGCATATGAGCCTTGTTGTGCAAGTGATGTTGCGGCGACATCAGAAGGCATTCGGTCGCTGTCCGAAGTGCCGTGCTTTTGCAAGTCTGTAGCTTCGTCCACTGCATCCTGCTAGTTCGCGGCGACCACGCAGGTGCTGCATAGTTCGGCGAATTCCCTTGTACGTTCGCAACAAGTTTTTTTTGTCTTTGCCCCAGATGATGCCGGCTAGCGACTTGAAGACATTATTGCGGCTTTATACTTTATTGACAATTGCATTTGTATGCGCCGAGAAGAAGGGGAGCAGACTGTCGGAAGATTACTCCAAAGGTTTTTCCGTTTATTCACCGTCGGGATTGGTTCGTCATCGACGTGTATACCCAGCTGCAGTCCAACCTCCTTCGTCCAGATTGTAAAATGGGTTGCTGAGGATTTTTTAGGGCTCCTTGCAGTGAAGAAGCGAGAAAACTCAGAGAGCATAACAGACAATTGAGACTCCCTCTGGTAGCTAAGGGAGCCAGTTCTACGTACCGAAATGACTCGGGTTTTACCCGACAAAGGGCTGTTGTCTCGGCGATCTAAGCCCGTTTAGGTCGGTGAAATCTCTCTCGAATCGGTCAGCATCTTCCGTTTGTTCTTTCGGGGTCAATTTATGAAACTTTCTTTAGGGGTCAATTTATGAAACTAAAGGTTCAATAAGTCAGTGTGAATAAGTTATAGACAGTTGAAGAAGGATGAGCGACTAATAGCTATTAACAGTCGCTTATTGAACGAGAAATCGACATGCACAATACCATGGAAAAGCCATAATCGAATAATAGTCGTTTATCTACTACTAGTCGACACTCGCAGTAGGGGTGTTAATTTTCTGAAATCTTAAAATTCGGATTAAGTTTTGATAATTAACAAACATATCTACATATGTATTTTCTTCCATAAAAAAATCTGAGAATACTTTCATTGGTAGGTATCTTATTTTATACCAAAATGCTACTTCACATTACAACTTTCAAAAATTTGGATCCAGTATAAGGGGAAATAGCTTTTTTTCGAAAATACCGGAGATGGACGGGGTTACCGTCGCCATTTTCAATACCAACCTACATTGGATAAAGCACAAGCAAAAAAGTCACCTTCAATATGCCAGAAAAATAACGCACCGATTCATACCACAAAAGCTATAGAAAGAGGATAACGAAGCAAGGTCTTACATTTTTCACCCTCTTTACCAGACCTAAGTTTATTAGTCAGAAAATTCATTTGATGATTCTGATGATGACATCTATAATATGCTTTTGTAGGTTCAATGTAATCCTTTTCGCTGTGCCTGTTAAAAAAAAAATATGCATATTTTTTATTTGGCTTGATAAACAGACGCATAAAAATCAAAGTAGCCAAGCGATTTTCTTTGCTATCGCCACAATTTTTAAAATTGATCATTCTTCGAAATGAGATAAAAATGAAGCTTCTCCAATGCCTATAATAGAGATATAATCCCGGTTCTTGAAGATAAATAATGTGCTTATGCAAGTTTGTGTTTATTGTGTAAACTTAAAAAAAAAATACATTTACTCGCCCAGCTCTCTTTATTCCAAATCTTTATTTAAAAAAAAAATTGCATTTACTAATCCCGCTTTGTTTCTTTCAAATCTTTCAGAGGATGTTTTATCCGATGCCAAGGGCGAATGCGTAATTTGCTTAGAAGATTTGAATCCCGGTGATATTATAGCGCGATTGCCGTGCTTGTGTATTTATCATAAAGGGTAAGCATTCTCTTATTGTCTTCTTTCAAATTTAAACTAATAACCGCTACTATCTCTGTTTTAGCTGCATCGATCGATGGTTCGAGGTGAATCGATCTTGCCCCGAGCATCCCGGCGACTAGTTAAACCTAACTAAGTAAATTAGTCAATAACTTTTAATACAAAAACAATTACTCAAATTTATAATAATTTTTCTATTTGCTTTTTTTTCTCTCTTGTTTTTTGTTTTGTTATATTTTCTTTATATATATTTACATATGTATGCATATTTTATTAAAATTAATTATACAGTTTTAGAGAGGGTAATGAAACGGAATCATAACTAATCAATCTATTGAGTAATAATGAACCTAGTGATATAATCTATATTCAGAAAATATTAAAATAGAAATTAGTTGTAAATTCTTTTTTATACTGTGACGTAAAATTAGGTGAACATAATAATATATAAACTTTAAATGAAAAAAACCCAAAAAAAAAACAATGAGAACTTAAGGCAGAAAAACGAAAAATTTAACAAAAGAAATATAAAACAAAAAATAAACCATTGTAATAAATGCAAACATAAAAAGCATAAAGCATTAATTGTATGTTTGTAATTTCTGTGTGTCTTATCGTTTATATATATATATATATATGCAATAGTTTTGTTGTGATTTAAATTGTATTTTACATACAAATATATTATGTGAAGTCGAGATGTGTTAAGGGCATGCGCAAACATATATAAATAATTGACAGTAGAGATGATACTGACGCAGCAACAACTCAACTTAATTCAAATCAACTCAACTCAACTATAAAAGCTTAAACAGACGGCAGTTAATTCCCGAGTTGATACGGATCAACGCTGCCGTCTGTTTATGCTTTTATGCAGCCAACAGGATAACTGTAGAATCATGTTTTGTTCCACAAAACTTAACAAAACGAACACCAACAACAGCAACAACAATAACAACGATTAAGTATGATTGACAGTAAGGATGGAGGCGCTTATAAACAACAGACTACAAAGATTACAAAAAAAAGGTGCTGCGCACTGCAGCCCAGTGTGCGTTAATTATTTCATTGTGATTGTCTATATTAAGTTTTTTGTATGTGATTATTGCTCATTTCACGTTAATTGTTTTCGATTTGGCTTAAATTGTACACAAAATACTTGCATACATACACGCAAACAAAAACCAACCACAAACTGTACACTCAAACAAAAAGAAAATAATTTTTAGAATAGGAAATGTTGTGAATTGAGATATAAGAAACGTTTTTGTTAAGCCAATAACTCCCCGCCGCAATGAGAAATTACATACAAACACTCATAAGAAATACAGAAAATTACATGCGCATACATATACATATAAAGTTTAAAAAGATGGTACGTATGTATGTACGCGTGTGAGTCAAGTGAAGATGCTGGATGTCTGCACGTCAAGTGGAAGGGGTGGTGAGGTGGTGAGGTGGTGACGGCGCTGAAAGAGTAGTGAGTTAGGACGATGAGACGTTAGTTGAAAGTACACTTTACTCAAATGTCAATATCATTTCGTAAATAAAGAATTAAATAATAATAATTAAATAAATGAATAAGTAATAAAAACTAAAATCAACAATGAAAAATTAAGAAAATACGCGTATAATTCTATTGATGAGGGTTAAATAAAGTTTAACTGGTACATATAAACTATATTTACATATATACATACATACATACATACTTAGCTATGTAATTTAAGTTTACGCTCGAAAGAAAGGTCATAAAATGTCCACAATTTAAACAAACAGCAAAAAAGTATATTCAATTAAACTGAACATAAAAACAATAACTAAAACTAAATGCAACATACAAATAGAAATCACAAAAATAGGAAACCTACATAAATGATTAACAGAGAAGCAGTAGCGAAGTTATCATTCGAACAAGTTATTACTGCGCATTTCACTGTAGTTGCATATACATACATATAAACACATAATGCATGGTAGAAAAGAATCAAAAACAAAAAAAATAGAGTAAGAAAAATTAATACAAGAAGGATGTTAGAAAATGAGAGGATGTACGAAACAAACGTGAATATCTTGTCAAGCATATACCAAATCATTATTAAGCGTAGCTGTTAAAATTGTACATACCACATACATACATACATACATACATAGCATAGCAGCATTCATACACTAAAATGCATATTTATATACACGAGTAACTGCATAAAAAGAACCTAAATGGCAGTGCAAGCAGAAGCGAATCATAAGGGTGCATTCCAAAACGTCCAAATACAAGGCAGCATCAGTCTCTTTTACTTCTAAACCTCGGTAGATTTTTATGCCAAACGTGCGCAACCACGATTAGATGAAAGTTTTCAAAAAGGTTGCAGAAGTTAGACT